CTATTATTATAATTATTATTATTATTATTATGTTATGCAAGAAATCTAAGGAGAAAATATGTTTAATCCAAAATATGTTGTAAAAAAAGCTAGAAACATCTCATTAGGCCCTAATAAAGTAACTGTTCACCTCAGTTACACACATCTRGTGTCACCTATTGGCATGTCTGGGGTCAAGGGGGCAACCTTTTTCTYTTGCTGTATTGTTAAAGTGAGAAAACAGAAGAAAAGGCCAGTATCACCCACCACCCTTTGCGTCAAACTTTTAAACTAACCATCTAGTGTTGAGAAATGACAGTTATTGTCATTTTGGTCAAACCTTGAAAATAATGTTAGTGTTTGATTACTTTGCAAAGTTTCTTTAATAAAACCTGTCCACTGAATTACAAGAGTATTTAGCAAACCCACACAGGCAAAAACATGCCTTTTACCTCTTGTTGGCAGACAATAGCAAAAATAAGAAATTGTACCAAAATATTATATCTCAATTGTTGACCATTTTTATAAAACTCCTTTCGTCTCATTCCTCCTAAAACCCCAACATTTGCTTGCAGTGCTCAGGGTTGCTGTTCTGGTTATATTTACAAAAACAGACCTTTGTTAAAAAGAGAGCTATTCACAYTTTGTTCCCATAGGATTTTTTTTCTTCCTCCTGCATAATGAGAGACGTATCAAGAMTGAGACACAAAGAAAAGTGGTCTTGGAGATGATTTAGTGCCTGCAAAACTGCAGCTAAGGACTTTATTTCCCTGATAAAATGAGGTGATTAAATATACATATCCTCACCCAGACTCGAGACACGGCAGCTTCTCTTACAAGATTCTCTCCCAAGTAGCTTGGAGAGCCTATAGATGTGTTTTTACCTCGCAGAGAAAGATTAAACGCACAATAGATGTATTTTGTTTTGTAAAGTATGTAATATAAACTGATTTTAATGCGCAGGGATGAAATGATTCACCTGCAGAATGCGATCTCCTTCCTTGATGCGTCCATCCAGCGCTGCTATGCTGTTCGGCTCAACCTGCACAAAAGAACAGAAATCAATGCTGACAGCTACTCTTTGTGAACGTCTGTGTTTTCAAAGAAAAAAACAACTAATATATCACACAAGTGGTGCACTTTCATGCACGCTGTTAGGAGAAAACAGTTTTGTTCATATAGAAAAGGTGTTATTTTCCACTCATTGACAGCTCCATATTTTTCATATATTTTACTTTTTGCAGATTTGAGTATCTTTGGGTTGTGGAAGTTGACAGGTGCTAACAAATTTAGCATATAATAACAAATAGAGTTATGTGTTCTATGTTGGTGGTGTGCATGCAAAGACGAGGGAGAATCTAAATTTAAAAAACAGCGGTTGTGCCACAAACAGTTCTGAATGAATCAACATATTCTGCTCTCTGAAATGCATCCCGATGGAAATATGCATATACGCTACAGCAACACTAAACAATCCCTTCATAAAACTTTGTTGTTTCTGATGCTGAAGATCAAGAGATTTGGCAACGTGTGGGGGGAAAAAAAACAAAAAACAAAACTGAGGGGAAAATGGTTGATGGTGGGGGAGAAACTGCATTCCCCCAAAGTTGCATTAATCCAAACATGCATTTTAATGAGAAAAATTAGCATTTTTGTTCTGCATATCAAACTCACAAAAGTACATCAATTCTGTTGGTGACGGACTGTTTTCAGTCTTTTTSTTTGTCGCATTCAAGAAAACAGGAAAAACCAGAGGAAGAGCTGGAAGGTTGTCGTGTTGGTAATATATAAGTCATCCGAAAAGAGATAAATAAAGACAATTATTTTATGATTATACGTTGCAAGCCTTTGAGCTGGAAAGTTAATCCTAGTAGCTTTGACACTTCTGCCTTTGTCTTTTATAATTGGATTGAACCTGCACCTGCAGTCAAACCCAACATTTATCCAATTTGGACTGTGTTGCCTAAATTTTTCTGGATTCCACAATTTATCTCGTCTTGGATAGYTCAATGATTTGTTTTCATCTTGTCTTATCTTAATTTTTTATTCCTTTTCACAAGAAGGTATTTTTTTTCCTGAGCTGACAGTCATTTGAATTAATAACAAAAACTCCGATAATTTTCCTTTCCTCGTTTTGCATGATTGGAATTCAGATGGGTTTCACTAAATGGGCGTATGTGTCATTTAACATATTGTTGGCACAGAGAAGGTYGCTGCTCAGAGCTAATTAAAACCTCCAATTAGAACATGTTAAAGGAGGAGGAATGGGAATGGCAGAAAGGGAGTCATATTTCAAACCTGACTTCCTTTTTGGCCATGCATGCCTCATTCAGAGAGGATTTATCCTTCCTGCATAATCCAGTTGCTCTCAACTTTAGTGCACAAAGATCTTTCTGAATATGGGATTTTGAAAAATTCTCCAATAACTTCCTGCTTCATTTACACCGATCACAAAGCAGAGCYCTTTTCTTTTCTGCACATTTTGTTGAACACATTTAGACTATTTGGAGCTTAAGTGTTCAACAAGCAATATCAGTCAAAAGAAGCGGTGGAGAAAAGTTGTAATAGTTTCACTGCACCTGGCTGACATAAATGCCAGTATCCTCCTCATCGTCCGTTCGATAGCACAGCGTCAGGCCAAGTTTTTCCTGGGTGTTTTGTCTGCAGAGCTCCACTTCCTGTTACACACAGCCAAACACTTTTTCATTTCACCCAGAAAACACAGAATATAAATTGTCTGAACCAATTAAAACCGCATATTGAGTGTTTTAATTATGAAGACAAAAAAAAAAAAAAACTCATTGGTGAGCCAACCAGAACCTAAAATCCTCTTCTGAGTTTGGAAGAAAGCATTTCAAGCCTGACTTGAAAGTGCTTTGAAACCTGCTAAAGTCTTGTGCTTGTTCATCTACACCCACTCCTTCAAATAAAGACTTACTCTAACACTGTCAGGTTAATCTTACCCAGGAAATCAAAGAAATCTGTTTAACTTAGAGTTTAAACTACACAATGAGGTATATTGAAAATGGTTAATCCAACAGAAAAAAGGGAAACAAACATACCTCAATCATGTGGTCTGTATATCAATGGATTTTAAAGCTCATAAGTATCAAACTAAACCCTGCATGGGGAAACATACAAACTGGGTGTTTTTTTGCTTATGGTCCCCTCCCGCAGGAAATCTCCCTAAATGTAGATCTCTGGTTTCTTTTGATCTCTGCTGTGTATAAAGTTAATCGCGTAAAGATAACTCTGAGGCTAATCTTTATTAACCTCACACTGCCAAATTCATTTCTCTATGATGATATGAAAGGAGGGGTGTGGGACAGAGTGGGGGGCCTGAGTTGTGAGAGTGGGAGGCAAGAATTAAACCCTATACCCCMCTCTGTTTTTTCCTGTCATGGGAAGCCACGATAGCTGAGATTGACAGGGGAAGAAATTAATTTCTGTGGCATTTAACCCCCTGTAACAGCCGTGACCTTCAAAGGTTGGGGTGTAAGACACTTTGATTTTGTAACTCCTCTGTGCTACACACACTCCTCACTGGTGTTGGAAAAATGGTTGATTTGTAGCTTGACATTGAAATCAAATTAAACGGCATAATGTCAGATTAGCCTGTTCAATAGTTTTCAGTAAATTACTGGACATTGTTGCTTGATTAATAATGATAGGATGATATTCTACACAACATACGGCACAACATTTACTTAAACTAATTTAGCCTTCTCGCAAATGGAAATTATCTTTCCAGCATCCCTGTTAAAATAAAAACACACACAAAAAAAGGGAGATTCACTGACAATAGGTGTCATTAAGTGTTTTAGGGGCACGTTAAACATCTGGAAGAAACACTTCCGTCTGGTGTACCTTTTACTGCCACCATATGCTTCATTTAAAAGTAATTACTGCCAAGTGTGATGTACTCTGACATATTGTTTCCTTATTACAGATGATGATGTACTTTCAATTAACTTTAACACATAATATTTGTAATTGTTTTTCAGGTCTCTACGTCTGCTTTAGTGTTTCTTAGTTGATTCCATCTGTAACCTCAAAAGTAGTAAAGAAGCAGAAGACATTTGTTTTGCAGTGAATCAATAGATGCATCAACACCTCTGAAATGCTCAGGTCTTTATAATGTCTAAATTATGAGCTTATAAAACCAGTAAATCTTTTATAGGAAGTATAATTATCCTCACCACACACAGATGAAGGTGTGTGATCTCAGTTTAAGCACAGGCTTTTTTTTCTCTCTCTCTGCCACTCTGCACACACAGCTGTAATCTTCTGACACAAATGCATGCTGTAATCAGTATTTTTATTATCTACAGCCAAGATGTTGTTTCTTGGCTAGAGTGAGATGAATCCGACTTTCATAAACCATCTAAAATCATAAATAAGCTGGGTATGTTATTAAATTATATAAAAAAATGAAGAGTATTTACTTTGGACGGCTCCCCAGATTAATATGTTTTTCCCCCATTTTAAAAATGAAACCCATATCCCTGGGATCATGGCAGCTGACATTCCCTGTACAAAGCTCTTTTCTTATTGGCACAAAAGTGTGACATTACCCACTATATTGTCATTTTTTTAGAAGAGTTTAAAACTCCATTACCTTCCATTGTTCAAAATAGAAACCAAAGTCTTAGACTTTTTTAAGTTGTCACGTTGTTTTTCTTTTCCGACACTGGTTGGGGTTGTGGCAACTATTGCCAAATCACCTCTATGTGGCTCTGTGATTGTCGACCCCTTCATGGTGTACCCCGCCCTTCACCCAATGACTGCTGGAGACAGAGTACCTGCCCCACACTGCCCTCTAATCCTGAACAGGAGCCACATTATCACAGGAACCTTTGAATTTAACGCATGTGAACCAGTTCGATTCGTTTTTGGCGGGGGTTTTTTTTTCATCGTTCTATAGACTTGGCACTGCTCAAAGCTCAAAAAAATTCTCAGTTCTTTGAACACGTGTTTGCCTGCCAATATTTGGTTTTGTTTGTTTTTACAAGATTAGAAAGTCAGCATTTGAAGCCTGGCACCTGGAGACAATCCAAATTAAAACATTAAAAGAAAACTAATTTAGCAAGTTGATAAGTGACTACTGTCTGCCCCACTGGTTCCACTTCGTTAACTGCACAGTGCAACCTTGTGATCATAGTTTTCAATAAAATGTGCTTTTATTAAACAGTATTTTATCACAAAGAGCGGTACATACCTATTTACACGTCTTTGAGGCAAGTGATTTTTTTACACATAAATAAAACATAGGAATTTTGATTGTAAGGGAAACGACAATATTTCACCTGCTGACCCTTTCTTTTTACTCTAGCAATCAAATCGTTCATGCTTTATGTCAATGTCATAACTGAAACTCCACTGTTACCTGGTATGTATTACAGTATGATGGATTTGGCAGAACCACCAGGAGTATTATGACAGCAGGCGTACCCATGTGGACAATCAGTCTGAAGTGAAGCACTACCTGTCAGTCAGAAGTAATGTTCCTGGGAATGGCAGCCCAATTCTGTTTCTTTCAGGAGGAAAACCATTCTGGTTTCAGTTAGATACACATGGATGGACAGGGGGAAAAAATGAGGACAGCTGATTTGGTGTGTGTATGTCTGGCAGGTGTGTGTTGTCCAACTTTGTTCTGATATGGCTGTTATTACCACACACGAGCCCTCGGCCACCACCTGACCCAAACGCAGAAACCCTTTCTCGTAGACGATACTTTAAGGTAAAAGGCCACAGCTGGCAGCAAGGGATCCTAATAACCCACAATGCAGTTCACTGATCCAGGAAACACCTATTAAATCTTAAAGCATCACAGACAAAAGCAAATATGACCCCGCTGCTGTCTCCTGGATCTCAGTGTACATTGTTAAACTGGCATGATGCGTCTGCCAAACAATTGGTGCCATTAGGGAAGCTATTGATTGTTTAAGCACATAAACGGACTGTAAAAGACGATAAAAGACAAAAATAGGTGAATCCAAGTGTAAAAGAGTAAAAAAAAACATATTAAATGACTTGTTTAGGGTGCAATACTGTACCTCAAACTCATACTCTTCAGTCTTCTCCATTTCTGCTTGGGTGTTGGACAGATACTCTGGACATTCATAAAACTCGTGTTCCATAGTGTGGATGGATTGACAGCTATGGGGACAAGAAAAGAAACAGCAATTTTAGCAACAATTCAGAAACTGTTTTTAAATTCAACACCATTCTTCACCATCTTAGATTACCCTTTTTCATGTTTTTCTTATTTTTAAACACCATTAATCGCTTTTCCATATTGCACGTCAACGACTTCCTCGTATTGCAACAAAACTTCAAAGAAGAAGCAATGCCAGCCATTCTCCTCATTAAAGAATTGACCTCTGGAAATTGTCGCTCTGACTGCCTCTCCATAATGACTGACCCAGACTGGGATGTTTGCGGGGTTCTAAGACAAATTGATTTCATTTACTGTCGAGCGACGCCCTATAAATAGCCACAGAATGGATGCAGTATCAGGATGCCTTCTCTATCAGACCATTGGATTTTAATCGCCCAGCAAAAGCCTCCATTAAAGAAAATGGATGAAGCGCACTGAAGCAATTATTGTATCCCAGTTTGGTTGTGCATAATATCACAGGGCATAGCTTTGTTTGGGGTTTCCATTCTGYGAAAGAGTTGCTTAATGAAATGAGGGAGATCAGCAGTGCAACTTTCAGGAAGCCCAACATTCAATTGTTGTAAAAAAAAATAAATAAAAGATCCTGCCAGTGGTTTACAGATTAGACAAAAAATCAGTCATTGACTTTCACCTAAAGTGAATGCTAAATTCTTTCCAACACGCAATCAGCATTTGTSCTCACCTGTCAGAGAGCAGGAACGGACAGATGTCTGGTACTGGTGGGGTGGTGGGCCGAAGCTTGGCCAGTGCCATGATGTGCTCAAAAGTGATGTCTGTTTGAGTGCAACCATCAACCACACACACATCTTGCGGCGAGCTGCTGTTCTTGTGCACAGCAGTGGCCGTGGCTCTGGTGGGTGTTCGTCTGAGAACCTGGACGACRATGGGGTCCCGCCTGATGGCCTCCACCACTGCCTCATTGTGTTCAGCCTTGGAGAAGTCTCGTCCGTTCACCTTGAGTAGGAGAAAACAACAACAAAAAAAGAATCTTGAGCATTTCTTGTAACCTCTCAGGGAAAGAATGGAGATGATTGTTGAAAAAGCTCTGGCATTTGATCATGTTTGTCCATTTAACTACACGCTTTTCTAGCATTGTAGCCTCTCACTAGTTGCTTCACAGTATTCTTGACTGTGTAATATACTAGGTTGCAGTGTCTTTTTAAAGATAAAAACAACTACAAGCCTGCCTTAATGGGCTCATTTTATCTTTTCTAGTTAAACCCTATCTTCTGTTCCAAATCATTCAAACTCGATTACATTATTTACAATGAATTTCTTTCATTAAGCCCATTAAACACAGTGAAACGGATGAGGACAAATGAGCTACAAAATAGGGACAGACAGTGTTTAGTTGCATTTGCACCGCTGGGAAAGCAAGTTTTAGCAAGCACCACTTACTGCGTTCACATAATTAGACAAGATTGGGCCACACAGGAACACGGAACACTTTTGTGTGTGTAAGACAGTRTAATGACCCCTTCCTTTGTTAAAACACACAGATCCCTCTGTCAAACTTTGCTTTGCTTATTGATTTGCTTCTAATGTGCACTTCTGCTCATTTTCTGTCTGTCACACTCTGTTAAGTACTTATTTATTTTTGCAAWATTGAACACCTGAAAATATCAAATCTTTGGCCAAGCCTTTACCGCGCGRATGTTCAAGCCAATTGTCAGCATTGTTWTTGCTCAAACAGCTTCTAAACATTAAAARATGCATTTTGATGTGCTCAGAAGTAGGCAGTTGTAAAACATCTTGGTAGTGAATGAGTAGTGGCATTCGAACAATGTATTGTATACTTTTTGAGCCAATCAGAATGATCTTATGAGTCAAGTATAGCACACGGAGCATTCACAGCAATAAACCTTTAAACTTCGCTGTCAAAATGTTTCTTCTGCAAACATCCCCCTGCTTTTATTGGTCCAATTTCTCTAATCCACGAAGCGGAGGAAAAGTTCCATCACATTTCTAAGTTTTAATGAGCAGCAGATGGGCAGATTAATCTTCAGTTATAGGAAATGTTCTGGAAAGGAGACAGTCATTGTGCACACACCTGCGTGCAYGTTTACCTGCTGTTGTTCCTAAACGAAATCAGACCGTTGATGAGTTAACTGGGTGCTGATTTATCTCCAGCAGATGTGACTAAAACCAAGAATAATGGTTAGAATGTGTAAGGGTTATCCGTATGTGGATTTATTAGATGTTTGTGATTTTTCTGATGCAGCTGCAATAATGGAATATATTTTTATATGCAAATCATTACGGTATTTCATACTTTGAAGTACACATCCAGAGAGTAACATTAACATTTTCAGTGCACCTCAGAAAATCTTTGTTTTGTGCGTTAAATAATTTACTTCCAGTGTCGCTGTCGATATATTAATGTTTGCTCAAGGACTGATTCCCCACAGGAGTTGTAGCTTAATTTCATCTATGTACGCGTGTGTGTGTGTGTGTGTGTGTGCCTTGGATGTCACACACTGCAGTTGCAGGTGCAAGCAGCAGAGTAAAAGCACCGAGACATATAGGCGCGCGGATTCCATCAATATCAAACAGTAATTCCATTTTGATTACATGGTTCCTCCCTCATTACTCCACCGTGCTCTCAGGATGACAAAGACAGAACATCACCTGATCGTCTGATAAAACACTTAAGAGCACTAAAAATAGAGTGAGTTCATGGCAGCCTGTGGGGACTGCTGTAATGAACCAACAATGCAGCGCGGCTTTTATATATATCTCGAGTTAAAGGTTATCATTGCCAATAAAAATGGTTCCCAGTAGCCGTAAAACAAAGCCTCGTCTGTCCAAACACTCCTCCTCAAAGGTCAAGGTTCAATGTGATGGGCTACATATAGGGAGGAATGGATTTACTGTAACTCAGGTGTTTTTTATGGGGTTCGGTTTGTAAAGTTACACAGTCAAAAATTACCACCAATATTTTTGTTTTATTTAGCCTTTTATAAGAAAAAAAAAGAACAGATTTATTTTTCA